ACTGATGTATTTATACATGTTGATCATATCCCCCTTAATCTCCTCTTCTCAAGAGAGAATAAATTCAATTATTCTAATCTTTCCTCATAGCTGAGCTCCTCCATGACCTCTTATCAGTTTGGTTGCCCTTCTCTGCACTTTCTCCAGTTCCTCAATGTTTTTTTTTTGTGAATTGGTGCCCAAAACTGAACTGCATATTCCAGATGAGGTCTTACTAATGATTTGTACAGGGGTAAATGATATCACTCTCTCTGGAGTCTATACCTGTTTTAATACAAGAGAGGATTTTCCTTGCTTTGGAAACCGCAGCTTGGCATTGCATGCCATTATTAAGCTTGTGATCTACCAGAACTCCCAGATCCTTCTCCATCATTGATTCCCCCAGTTGTACCCCCCTAGTATGTATGATGCATGCATATTCTTAGCCCCCAAGTGCATAACCTTACATTTATCAACATTATACCTCATTTGCCACATAGTTGCCCAATTAAACAGTGCATTGAGGTCGGCTTGTAAGTTGGAGACATCCCGTAAGGACGTTATTCCACTGCACAGCTTGGTGTCATCTGCAAAGACTGAAACTGTATTTTTAATCCCAGACCCTATATCATTTATAAATATATTAAAAAATAAGGGTATTAACACTGAACCTTGGGGTACACCACTGACAACCCTAGACCATTCAGAGTATGAATCATTAACCACTACTCTTTGAATACGATCTTTTAGACAGTTTTCTATCCATTTACATACAGATTTTTCCAAGCCCGTAGACTTTACCTTACACATTAGCCGTGTGGGGGGAACTGTGTTAAACGCTTTTCGCAAAACCCAAGTATACCAAGTCCACCGCTACCCCTCTGTCCAAGGTTTTGCTCATCTCCTCATAAAAAGAAATCAGATTTGTTTGACAACTTCTGTCTTTCATGAATCCATGCTGTCTGTTGCTTAAAATATTTTTCCCAGCAAGAACTCATCTATGTGGTCTTTTATTAAACTCTCCAGTATCTTCCCAACTTCCCAACTATAGAAGTTAAAAAACCAATCCAGGTCTATGCCAATTACTTGGTAAAGATTTTTAAGGACCCCTTTTTAAATATTGGTATATTTCTGTATCCACATTGGCCAATGTTACGCCAATCCAGTGGTACTATGCCAGTCATTAGAGTCCCTAAAAATTACCAAAACAATAGGTTTGCTTACCCTGAGGACAGAGTTCTTCTCAATTCTTTAAGGACTCCGTGGGTGTATGCCATCTGGTCCAGGTGCTTTATTTTCACCTTTATTCTGTCTAAAAATATTTCTGTATCACATATCAGCTTTGTGAGCTGCAATGTGGATCATTTGGGGCTATGTCTTTAGGTCAAAAGCGGTTTAGATGCCCATTAAATGAACAAGAGATTCCCCCATGCTCCTTTGTATACACAGAGCTGAAGAAGGTATTTAAATACATTTGCCTTCTCTTTGTCCCCAGTCACCCACTCTAGATCATTTTGTAAAAGGGCCTACATGCTCGGACCTGAACTTTTTACTATTAATATATTTGAAGAATTTTTGGGGGTTGGTCCTGCTATCTTTTGCAATCTGTTGTTCGTTTTCAATTTTTGCAGCCTTTAGTTCTTTTTTGCATATTCTGTTATATTCTGTAATGTTTAAACGATGATAGCGTTCCTTCATTTGCATATTTAACAAAAGCTCTTTTCTTATTATCTATAGCTTGTACTGGCTTTACGTACACGTACACACAAGAAAATCTTTTCTGGCTCCTCTTTTTTTAGAAAAACAATACTGCATGTCAGAATTGGTATTGCCGTACTAATTACCAAAACACAGTCATTTTTAAGTACGTTTGGCCCACAGCAGACCTAATGCAGACCCCTGCAGGTATTCAGCTTGATTTGCTTTGTTTGATTTGCTTTTTTTTCCTTTTTAACCTGGATGATAAAAGAAGGAGACAACAATTCCATGGAGCCTCTTGTACAAACAAATTCATTTTGTTAGTATGCATCAAAGGTACACTCTAGTCAAATAAGTACATTTTGCATTTGAACTCCCCCAGGTGAGACGGCCGGCCCATTAGCTCTAATTCATCTTTTACACATAAATATCCCAGGAGACACATCTCTAAAGTTGCCTGTATCCTAGTCTTCTATTTGTCCTTATCTATTGTCTCATTCCTATCTGATAGGCTACAAACTGTTCAAGCCAGATATAATTCACTGTTTTCTCTACATGGAATCACTACTAGCAAAGAAAGCAACTGTCATAGAATATTTTTGCAAAAAAAAAAGGGGGTATAAGTGATGTAGCTCCTAAATTTGTCTTGGTATCCTGTTGATGTTTGCTTTAAACTGATGATATAAACTATTTCCCTGATTTGGCTTACAATGCAATTTTTGCTTTTTTGCAACATAACATAACGATTAAAGCAAACTTTGCACCAAAAAATAAAGATCTGCCTATTTACTATGGATTCTCATCCCCTAAAAAATAAAAACCTGTAGGGAATCAATAATACTTGCTATTGGGCAGCACAGTGGCTAAATGGTTAGCACTTCCGCCTGGTAGTGCTAGGGTTGTTGGTTTGAATCCCAACCATGGCACCACCTACCTGGAGTTTGCATGTTCTCTCAGTGCCTGCCTGGGTTTCCTCTGGGTACTCTGGTTTCCTCCCACACTCCAAAGACATACAAGTAGGTTAACTGGATCTTGTCTAAATTGTCCCTAGTATATGAATGTACATTAGGGATCTTAGATTGTACGCCCCTTGTTGGACTGATGTGACTTTACAATATATATGTAAAGCACTGCATAAATTGACAGCGCTATTTAAGTACCTGAAGTAAATCAAATACTCCCCTGGGTTCCATACTGTAGGGGGTGACATCAGACTCCTTTCTGAGTATCCCAAATCTCATGCATTCTGCTGGAACATGGGATCTCATGGGATTTGGGTTACTCAGCATTCCCAGAGATCTTGACAAAGTGCCCAATCATACTGGTGGGATTTGGAAATTTAAATCACATTTAGCCCTGGTACACACCGCCGCAATTTGGGAATTGAAGTCGTACCTGAAATCAGATCTAATGAATGTGAGTGTCTTAACAAGCGCGATTTCAAAAGTAGTTCTTCCATTACTTTTTCTGCAGTTTGTTGTGATTTTACATACAGACTACTATAGAAATGGCACTGCAAAACACAATGTAAAACACAAGAAATCATTGGGAAATCTTCAGAAAATGTAGTGAAATCGCAAACAAAATGCGCAATTTTAAATCGCATCCGGTGTGAACCAAGCCTTAGTGAATGTCAGTGTCCTACAGGGGCGGACTGACCATTTGGGAACTCGGGCGCTGCCCGAGGGCCCAGGGTCAATAGGGGGCCCCATGAGATGCCCCTGGCACCTTTCATAGGCTTTTTTGGGTGTGGTTTGAGTGTGGGTGAGGACACAGGGGCCCCATGATCCCCTATTGCCCGGGGGCCCCATGAGTTGTCAGTCCGCCCCTGTGTCCTAACATTTGCAATTTGCTGCAGCGCAATTTCTAAAGTAGTTCTTGCATTACTTGTTCTGCAGTTTTGTTGTAATTTCATATACATAGAATATAATGGAAATCACACTGCAAATTGCAAGAAATCATTGAAAATCTTCACAAGTAGCAATAAAGTCGTCAGAAATCGCACCTGAAATCGCGCTGATATTGCACACAAATTGCATGATTTTAAATTGCAGTGACAGAAGGAGCATGACATCACTCACTGCAATAATATAAGCGAAGGGAAAGCGGGAGTAGTAACTATGTTAATTAAATATCTACCCTATGGGTTTTTTTGTTGATTGTAGTACAAGATCTTCCTTAACCTCCCTGGCGGTATGATTATTTCAGATTTTTGGTGCTGAAAGCGATACCATTATTTTGCATGGAAATTTGGCATTTTATATTGTAGGCCTGTAATTTTTAGGAATAACTCACTGAAATCTGTCCGAACAAGAGTCTAGTAAACATCCCGGTATGATAAAATGAAACACGATAAAAAAAAATGATATAATAATAATAAATTTAATTAAAATAATCAAACAAAAAACACTGAAATTTGAAATATAGCACCAAGTTCGCACATCACTGAGCAAAATCATTTTCAGTGTCTGATGCCAAATTTCCCCACGAATCATTATCATTCAATTCTGCAAGTGGTTCTGATTTACTATCGCTGTTCTCTAGCCGGTCTAAAACAGATTTTGACCTAAAGGGACGCTTTTTGGACATCATGGATGTTTCTCAGTTTCCAGGCAGAAAGAACAGTGAAAGTGCAGGCAGGGCACAGGACAAAGCACTCGGGACAAAATGTATGTGAAATGGTTTGATACAGTAATGTTTTACTATGTGATTTTAGTGAATTTAGTGAATGTCACTTTTTGTCATTTTCAAATTTCCCGCCGTTCCGTCCCCCGTACATCCCGGTGCTCGCAGGGGATGGAACCCAGATGACAGATCCCGGCATCCGCCGGATTACATTGCCGGGGACACTGCAGGAGGGACATCGCGGGAGCGCAGGACAAGGTAAGTGACCGAGGGATCGCGGAGCAACGCCGCATGGTAAGCCCGAGTGTAGCTCAGGGTTACCGCTTGTGGTACTGAAACTTTACCCCGAGCTACACTCGGGAATACCGCCAGGGAGGCTACAGCAACATTTTTTTCATTTTACATTTTTGTTTCAAAAGAGCATATTTAGATGTATTGTAACATGCATCTGTATTAAGAAAATATCATTTTGATAAAGGTGCATAATTTTATTTCCTTGCTGTTCCATATTTTTCTGATTGTAATTTGTTTATAGATTTGTAAATGTACCCTCTAGTGGTCATCTGTGGCTCAGTTGGCTTTACAGATGCTTTCATTTTTTTAACAAGTGGCACGAGACCCAGAGCCTTGCCTTGAGAGATAGGAGCAGCGAAATACCGCCATTGTGCAGTACTACTAAACGGGAAGCAGAGCCAGCATATGCCAAAAGGAGGAGAAATAGCTGTGCTGACATTATTGACCCAGCAAGAAGATTTCAAGAAAAAAACATATGTATAGGTGTTTACAAAATACTGAAAGGGCATTGGGGAGTTGGAGAATCCTGGAGTTCCACTTTAATGCAAGTCCACTGTAAGCTTTATTTCTATACACATTTATAATAATGCTCCATACATAGCAAAAAGTTTTCTTGGCAAACTAAAAGAACTCAAACCAGAGCAGAACTGTTTACTGATATCAACAAGCTTGACACAATGTTTTATTTGAAAGCAGTTTAGAGCAAACTTGTGCCTTAGGCTAATAGATTATGCAATGTTCTTTCTTTCCACCATGGGTAGGAGGAAAGAAAAATCACTGGATTTGATTCACAGTCAGAGTTGATGGGGGAATGCCTCCTGTAGCGTTAATGTTGTGTTAGTGGAGGAGTGTGGAGCTTTCCCTACCGGTAGAACACAATGATTAGTGTTGCTGGCTATAGCTTGTGACACTAATTGTTTGGGAAAAACCCGACAGACTGGTTGTACACAGGTTGATCGATGGATCGACTTGTGTGCAACCAGGGTGCCTATACATTGATTGAAATTCGGCCAGAGCCTGCTAAACAGAACAACCTTCAATCCATGTATGGCTGGCAGAAGTCTACATTAGCCACAGCCCTTGCTTCCCCTCTGAAAAATTATCTGCAGTAGATTGTTTTCAGAGGCATTTGACAGGTAGTGAGAAGGTGATATGTCCCTCCTTAGGGCTCATGTACACTGCAGCGGATAAACTCACGTTCAGGAACTTTTCTGCGTTTTTTTCAGCAGCCCCTGAACTCTCCCTAATGTTTTCCTATGTGTCCATGTACACTATGTCATTTACAGTTCTTTACAGGCAGCTAGGTTTACAGTCGTTTTTTTGAATGCACCAAACTTCAGCAGTAGATTTTATCAGCATTTCAAGCGCAAAATGCTTGTAAAATGTGGCTAACCGCGTTTATAAGCGTTTGCGTTTAGAAGCATTTTTTAACTGTTCCATATCCAGATGCTGTCCAGAGCCTTTTTTCATCATCAGAAATGCATGCAAAGTGTTTTCCATGTATTTAAATGGACCTAGTATACCAGCACAATCAGTTCTAGGTTTTGCGTGAAGGAAAAAATGCTAGAACGTGCTGCATTATGCTCATGATGGGATCCATAGTGAATACAACCAGAAAAGACAGGTAATCTCAACATATACTGCTCGCTCTGCTTCTGCTCTCTCTATTTCTCTCAAAATGTTTGAAATAGTTAATTTTTTACTATTTTTCAGTGCATTCTGAGCATTTTGGAAGGTCTCCTGAGGTTATCTTTAAAAAATGCTTCTCAAATGCAAACGTGCATAAACGCGGTATGCAAACAGACGTTTTTTAACCTACGTATTCCAGCAGTCAGTTTCAATCATTCAGAAGTGTTTTCCAAACACTTCCCGTGTACATGGAGCCTTACTGTCTGTTTTAGCCCTGCAAATGCCGCACCACTACGCTGCAACTGCATGCATTGCACATGGTAGCAGGGCAAATGCAGTGCTGCCCCTTTCACTTGAATAGGTCACAATAGGCAGGGGTGCTGCCTGCCAAATGCATTAGGGAATCACTTTTGCTTTAGCCACAAAGCGAAGCACTGAATACTGCATTTTTGGCAAGATCAGGTATTTTCTGTATTTGCTGAAAACGTTCTTACCTTGACCAAAAAGAAAACAAAGGCAACCTCTACATCTAAGGCTAGGTTCACACTTATGCAGTTTACATTTGATCCTTTGTCCAGTGTTTGACGTGTTTTTAGGTTTTTGTTTTGTTTTTTAATGTTACTTTATTTAGAGCCTAAAACATACAAAAATCCACTGTCTAGCTAATAAAAGCATAATTGACCAATCATTAAAAACCCAACCATGGCAGCTGCAGGGAAAATAGTATATACCCCCCCAAAGAGAAGACACAATGGTACAGATCAGAATATTAACAAACATATGTACTAGGGGCATACTTCACATTAACTAATTCACATGAATGAAACCTCTCCTCTGAAATTGGTGTTCGAAAATGGGCCACTGTATGTGGACCAGAATGAGTTATAGCACATATTTCAGATGTCACTGGAAGGCTCCCAGGGAGAAGTGCTCATATCTTTGCATATAGCCTTTGTGTAGCTTCTAACATGGCACCTTGTACAATCCCCTGCTGGCAATTAGATCCTCATAGGAAAGTTCTTCCAACTGTATCATGTATAATTTGTACTTGCCTAAGGCTCAGGGGTGGACTGACAACTCATGGGGCGACCGGGCATTAGGGGATCATGGGGCCCCTGTGTCCTTGCCCAAACTCAAAAAAGCCTATGAAAAAGGTACCAGGGGCATCTCATGGGGCCCCCTATTGACCCCAGGCCCTCGGGCAGTGCCCGAGTTTCCAAATGGTCAGTCCACCCCTGCTAAGCCTGCTTTCACACTGAGGAGTTTTTCAAGCGTTTTTGCGTTAAAAAAAGTGCCTGAAAAGCTCAAGAAAACTGCTTCCCTGTGTGAATGTATATCTATGTATGTTTTCACACTGAGGTGTTGCACTTGCGGTGCAGTATAAAAACTCTTGCTTGCAGCATCTTTCGGGCATATTTGGGGAGTTAAAAAAAAGCCCCAAAAGTGCCTCTTTCCATTGAAATTAATGGAAAATGCCTGGAAAGGAGCCTTAAAAACACCTCTGAGAAGCGTTTTTGGTGCAGTTTTTAAGTCACATGTCCTTTAAAAAAAATGCCCAGATAGAGTGGCAAAAGCGCGGTAAAAACGCATATGCATGTGTTTTTGCGGCAGATCAGTGTGAAAGTAGCCTAATGGAGGAGCCACCAGTTTGATCAGAAAAAGTTCCAAGTCATATAACACTCAAATAGACGGGATAATATCTAGCTGTCCATGTGGGTCTTGGAAGGTCCAGACTCTTCTCAGAAGGTGGTGGTTTTGACATGTTTTTGATGCATTTTGCTTTTTTTTTTTCTTGTTGCTAGGCAGATTACAATGCAAAACGCATCAAAAACGTGGCAAAAACACATAAAAAAAGAAATGGTAGAACGTGCCTCAATATTTGTAAGCTCCAAGGAGCAGGGCCCTCAAATCCCTCTTGTATCGAACTGTATTGTTACTGTATTGTCTCCCACTATATTGTAAAGTGCTGAGCAAACTGTTGGTGCTATATAAATCCTGTATAATAATAATATATAGATATATACCTCTTATATTGTAAGCTGCAAGGAGCAGGGCCCTCCTATCCCTCTTGTATTGAACTGTATTGTTGCTGTATTGTCTCCGTTATATTGTAAAGCGCTGAGCAAACTGTTGGCGCTATATAAATCCTGTATAATAATAATATATAGATATATACCTCTTATATTGTAAGCTCCAAGGAGCAGGGCCCTCCTATCCCTCTTGTATTGAACTGTATTGTTGCTGTATTGTCTCCCTTTATATTGTAAAGTGCTGAGCAAACTGTTGGTGCTATATAAATCCTGTATAATAATAATATATAGATATATACCTCTTAGATTGTAAGCTCCAAGGAGCAGGGCCCTCCTAACCCTCTTGTATTGAACTGTATTGTTGCTGTATTGTCTCCCACTATAATGTAAAGCACTGAGCAAACCGTTGGGCTATATAAATCCTGTATAATAACAATGATGGGATCCAAAGTGAATACAACCAGAAAAGACAGCTAATTTCAACACATACTGCTCTCTCTATTCCTCTCAAAATGTCTGAAATAGTTAATTTTTTACTGTTTTTCAGTGCATTCTGGGCATTTTGGAAGGTCTCCTGAGATTATTTTTAAAAAATGCTTCTAAATGCAAACACTCATAAACGCGGTATGCAAAAGCGGCTAAACTGACTTTTTTTCACCTATGTTTTCCAACAGTCAGTTTCCATCATTCAGAATTGTTTTCCAAACGTCCCGTGTACATGGAGCCTAAGTCCCTGACCCTTTCCAAAAAATGCACCGAGTGAAAACGCGGAGATGTGAACCTGTCCCATAGGAAATCATGTTAAATGGACTGTAGTGCATTTCTGCAAAACGCAGCAGAGGACGCATAGGTGTGAACCTAGACTCAGAATGGTAAACTGCAATATAATCCATATTTATTTTTTACAGGTACTTACAGTATATAGCGTTGTCAATGTATGCAGCGCTTTACATATATTTTGGTTGTTGGGTATAGAGAGTAGGAGAGAACCTTAGCAGTTTATAAAGATCTCACAGTTCCACAACTGTACATGACTACAGTCAGTCTCTGGGACCTGTGTTATTAGTCCGCTAATTGGGAAACCTGTGATCAGTCACAGGAAGACTAATCCTGTAGTAAAAATGACAATATACCGCCCCTGTAAGCACCTCAAAAGTAACATTGTCATTACTGTGTTACTGAGTATTCTCTGCTTTTACATGGATTAAATACCTACATTGACACAGGAACTCTATTTATTGCATATCCCCCATTGTCCCCGGGAGGTAACTCCATCCAGCTTTGTCTGTCTACAGTGCTGCAATGCAGATGTTTTCACCATTAGTGTCATTCCTTCTTCTCTGAATAATCAGTAAGGGGTAAAAGGGAAAGCTTAGCAGTAACTGCTGCTGCCAGCAATGTGGTAAACAAATGAAAGGAAATTCAATATTATGAACAAGAAAGCAGCATCTATTGCTATAGATCACATTATATAAAACTCAAACCCTCAAAAGCGGCAAACATGATTTTATGCCTTCGGTAAATAATAACCTTCCTTAACGACATACAGTACATCTGAGGTTATTTCAAAAGTATTCATACATAGTACAAGGGTTTCTTGCATGTAACTTCAGCTGCAGGAAAAGTATTTTAATACTTTTTAATACTGTAATTTAATACTATGGAGAAATATGGGGGGGGGGGGGGGCTCTAAAATTATTTTAAAAGGAGAGATAGGTAAAAACTCCTTAATCATTATTTTCCTATAACTAAATAACTCATACTTTCCCATAAGCAGGCACCATGTTTTTGTCCTTATCCACCTCCAGCAAGAGGTTTTTTCAGAGCCAGTTTACCAAATAGTCAGAGTAGGTACCAGCCTATGGGTCCCATGCCATTTAATGGATCAAAATAATA